AGTCAGAATAGTCCACCAAGTACGCTTGCGGATCTCGTTTTCCAGATTTGTCGTCTCACCCGGCGCCTTGGCAGCGCGGTGCAGGTTGAGGTCAATGGCACAGTGGAAGGCAAAGTTGGTGACCATGGAGCCGCATCCAGGCTTTGGGAAGGCGCGGCTATGAGCAGAAATCATGGCCATGGCTTGCACGGCAGCGACAGACTGCGCCGAGGCCAAGTCGTACATTTTGCTCAGAGCAAAGTGGTAGTGTTTGTTAGACAGCTCATTCAGCTGGGAACGGCTCTCCTGCTGCTCCCAGTTCCTCACGCCGTACTGGAAGTAGATGGTGGCAAAGACCATGTGCACCATGACCAGGTCGGGGACCTCTGGCTCGAATTCGGGTTCGTCGTACATGCGAGTCAGCTTGAAGGGATGGTCAGCAGCAAGCAGAGATAAGCAGAGGAAGGGCTCGACCCACTATATTCATGAAAGTCGGCTTGTGAAGGACGGGCAGGAATGGCCAGATCATGAGGAAGTACCACTCCGAGTATGTAAATGCGTCGCTTCGCGAGGGGAGTTCGATATTGACGGGCGGGTTGATGTTCATACATGACTGCAAGAAGGACTGGAGGGACTTGTTGTAGAGCGGCTGGGAGATCTTGGCATCGGGTACGGGCTCGTCCATGTCAGGGGCGTCGAAGGAGGTGACGTCTATCGTAGTGCCGAGGATGGACAGGCGTGTGCCCTTGATGGAGCTGAGAAGGGCGCTGTCGCCACCTACGCCAATGTGGTTGTGAACAGGACGCGACTCGAGTGATGACCGGGGAAAGGAGCGACTCGCGGGCGGCTTGAAGTTGTAATTCTTGACCCAGACGGATCCGACCTTTGTCCAGGCATCCTTCTCGGCCGGGTCCTCGACGGCATTGCCCATATGATCGTAGGTGACGCCTGGTGGAGGGTAGGCCATGCCGTAGGGGGCCCAGGTCCAGGGCTTGACTTCGATGCCGTTGTTCTCGAGGAGCTTCTCGAGGTCGCGTATGTGGTTCATCATGTCGGTCTTTTCCCGCTCGAGCTCCTGCAGGTACCCTCGACGTTCGGTTCGGCCGGTGACGCGATCGGTGACGAAGCAGTCGAGGTTCTGATTGACGCAGTGGGAGCATCCTTCGGGGAGGGCATCGCAGCGGATCTTTCTGACCTGTGGTTTAGGTTGTCGGTACGGGACGGTTTGACGGCTCGACGCTTGTCTGGCAAAGGACAGGACAGAACATGTGGACTCACCTTGCATCTGTCGCAGGCCTGGCCGGTCCTCGTGTAAGACGACAGACGGTTCTTGACGACGGAGGAGAAGTCCTCCTGGCCGCCCTTGTCGAGACGCGGCAGCTTCACCTTGCCATGACCAGCAGCAACAGCGGCCGCGGCAGCAGCAGTGTCGGCGTCGGTGGTGGCAGGATCGCCAGCTTCCGCCGGTCGCTTGGGCGGGCGACCGGGCATGGTCTCGTTTCGAGAGGAGAGTCGCGAGGTCTGGCGAAAGGAGGCCGCATACAAACAAAAAGGAAAAATCGCAGGCGCAGGGACAAGACGACGGCAATGCAGACTCTAGGTGGTCGCTCGGTGGTATCGCGACGGGGTTTTCCGCAGAGAGATGGAGGTTGCCGCGTTTTTAGGGGGGGCTGCTGCTGTTGGTGCAGCTGCGGTCGGGTGCATGTGTGACGGGAGGTCCAGTGCAGGTCCACGGGTGCCTGTCAAGGGGGGTGGGGGGACGCTACCTTAGGTATGGGCCCAGGCACGCCAGCACGCCAGCACGCCAGGTAAGGCGCTCCGATGGCAGGGGGTCCGAGCTGCAAATCGTCCGGGGGGGGGGGGGGGGGGGGGGGACGGGAGAGAGGGCTGACGGGCTGCCCTGCGCTTTACTGCATAGTACTAGGTAGTGGGCACGCGCCAGGGGTGGTGGGTGCATCCACTGGGCTGTCTCTGTGTTGAGTAGGTCTTGTCAGTGTCTCTGGCTGCGGGCAGGCAATCACTCCTCCTCCCATCTACAACTCACACACTCAACCAACACCTGGTCAGTCAAGGTAGACAACACCGCAGCACGCAACACACACTAGACGGACGCAACACGCGGCGGCTGCGGGAACACGCCAACCGAGTCCCAGCCTGTCGGGATGCGGGCGTGCGGGTGCTAACCTACCTCCTTCTTTACGCACTGGGGGCTGCTTGGTGGAATGCAGCTGAGTCGAAGCCCGGGTCTAGAAGGCCTAGGTCAGCTGGGGGTCCTGGACTTTGTCTCTGATTGACTAGAAGAATGCCCTCCACGCCCAGACGCATCTCGATGAAGGACGAAGTTGTCAGGTTAAAGAATGGCAGACATCGTTGCTGCTGCTGCTGTTAGGGTTAATACAGGCCCAGCCACTTGAGCTCCTCACACACGACGGAAACCTGTCATTTGCCTCGACGAACCCCTTACGGACACCTTTACAAACAACCTGCAAGAAACGAGAAACACGAGAGACTCGATCCTTCCTGTTCCCGGGCTCGAGCAGGGCTGGGCCGTAGAAGCTGACGCTTCTAGGTCGAGTCTGCTGGTCCATCAACCACCGTGAGGGTGTGAAGGAAGCGAGTGATTCTTGGTCACGGATGGCCAGCACTAAACCTTGACCACTATGAGATAGGCTGAGATCGATATCATCCTTCACATCTGGCACCGGTCATCCATCCATCTTACAACCGACGGGAGCCAGATTGGCCACAGTTGGTGTTGCGCTTGTTGTTGCCCGAAACTCAAGAAATCGACGCCATGTCATTTCCAAAACCAACGCCGCCAGCCATCGGAGGCGCTGGGAGGCGTCACCCTATCTCAAAGAACCCCGTGGCAGCAAAGAAAGAACACCCTCACACGCCTCCTCCTCCTTCTACTCCCCCAAGGGTTCCAATGTTCTAGCTCAAGGTTAGAGTGTCTCTGGTTGCAAGCGAAATGTCTCTCCGGCGGGAGGGGCACTGCGTCTAAGCCGGATCGACTGCGTGGTCGAGCCCTTCGAAGCTCCTTTGTTAGTGCCTCATCCCCCACGCCGCGAACGTTCCGGCAATGCCCTGTGCCGGCCATCTAAGCACACGGCAATTCCATCGGGTTAGCGACTCGTGGCCGCATATTTTTAAGTCCTGGTCCATCTTTCCGGATTGAGTTATTGAAGCATTGAAACAAGTGCAAGGCAAGGCAAGGCTGGGCCGTCAGGGACTTGTTCAACATGGACGACGCATTCCCGTTGTCTTGGATTCTTATTCGCATTCATGTTGGTAGACCTCGCAACAGAGGACTCGCATATCCCACATGCATTTACCGAGCTGGCCACTCATCAGCCTGCCTGGCCTGGCAAGTCTAATCTGACCAGACCAGACCAGACCAGACCAGACAAGACAAGACAATATCAGCTGCCGGGATTCTATTCTGGTATCGGCTTTGTTGAGGGCGTCTGTGTGTAGGTTCGCCGACTTGGGTTGTCAGGTTCTGCCAAGAGACAGGTACACGACGACGTTTATCCCAACGATTGGAGGCTGAATCGCGGGGACGGGCAGCTTATTCAATATTAGAAACGCGGCTTCTGGCTATCCACGAGTTGCCGCGTCATTTCAAGGCTGTCGCACGCCTCGTAAACTTTGTGAGAGGTTGGACCGTCTGAACCCTCACTCGTTGCTGCTGCTGTTTCCCTGCCTGTCTTTGAGCTTCTGTGTCCGAGTTGGGGGTCCAAACATGGAGATGGCAGACACAAAAGACAAAAAAACATAAAAAAGCCTGAAATAATACGCGGCATGCTCGCACTCGGGGGATGCTCCAATAGCCAGAAGGATTCCGGGAGCCAATCTCACTGGTGTGATGAGATGGATGCAATGCACATGCAGATGCACCATGGAAGGCTTCCTGGAAGGCTTTCTGGAAGGGAGGCAGATGATTAACGAGTGCGAGGTTCCATTCATAGTGATTGCATATCGGCAAAGGGTCAAAATGGCAACCCCAGGTTCCCGTTACGGATAGGCGCCCCACGATCTCGTCCCGTCAGATAAACTCCGAGGACCATCGATTCCCAAACAGGGCTGAATCGAGACCCAAGATGACACGCCGTGCCACCTGGGAGCTGCGTGCCTAGCACAGGTAAGGTAATTGCGGAAGCTGGTCTGGGTGGGTTTCCCGCGCAGGTTTGGGCGCAAGTGAAGATTATCGTAAACCTACGATGTGCAAGGATGCTGCCCCAAAGAGTCGGATCTTTTTACAGACTTTGTCGTCTTTTACCCGGCGTACGGGTGTCAAGACGAGGCTTGTGAAGCTTCATCCGGGTTTCTCTCAACCTCGGCCGAGACACGAGCAGCTTCCCACCCTCAGGTACCCTACCTTACTGCGTACCTTACCTTGAGTTTACTTTGAGTGCTGGGTGGGTAGAGAGAGCACTTTAGGTGTGCAACATCAACATCATGACTTACGGCAGATGATGGAAGCTTCAGTTGCAACCGCTGGCGGCAAATTTAACCAGCTGGCGGGAAAAGCGGGCCTGTCCGCCGTGCCGTGCCCACTCCCCGCCCTCAGCGACCTGTTCACGTCCAACATTAGGTACGCGTGGTGATTGTTGCAGTGCAGAGTGTGTGTGAGTGAGGTGGTGCTCCCATGCATCAGGACAGGTGCAGTGTCGTGTTGTGAGACCCCGCCATGCCCCTCCAAGAAACGGAAGCACAGGACGCTGACAGCACCGCCCAAGTTTATTCGCCGATAGGTACGTAATACCTACCTACCTATCCGTAACTGTCTAGGGGAAGGCGGGAAACATTGGACGCTCCTTCCTTGCTGCGTGCCAAAAAATTCAATTCGATTTTTTTTTTTTCGACCCCGCGATAGTTTCGTCGTCGGTCAACTTCCACAACTCAATCCCCCTCTCGCTCGCCACAACAGACAGACAACCACCCTCGTTTACCTCCTTCAGCTACCTGACCTCCGAATACCCGACGTCTCGCACTCACTACACAGATAGCCCGCCATCATGTCCATCATCGAGACCGTCCCCATCGATCACGTGCCCGCCGATCATGCCCTGCACGTTGCCTTCTTCAAGGATGTCCAGAACGCCGCCTTCCTGCACTCGCAGCTGCTGGCACGCAATGCCGACTTCGAGTACGCCCTAGTCGACGCCTCGGTGGTATGTCACATTCTTGTCTCGATCCAGACAGAAACCTGACAGCCCGCCACTGACATCGACATCGTGATCCTACAGGCCGTCTCCCGAACCCACATCCTCGCCGCAGCCTTCAAGGCCGTCACCGCAAAGGTCGATGGCAGCCTCAAGACCCCCAATGTCCACTCTGAGCTTGTCGCCTCTCTCAGCTCTGCGAACAACGTACGCGCAACACATATCTTTGGCACATCGCTTCACACCAACTAACCCTTCCCAGATTGCCGAAGCATACCGCCGCTACGGCATCAGCCCCACGTCCAAAGACGTCATTGCTGTCAAAATCGTCTCCCCCACCTCTGCCGAGTCCAAGTCCCAGTCCGCCGAGGATGTCGAGAAGCACATGAAGGAACACTTCCAGGGCACGACTGTTCCCTTCACCGACGAGAACATTGCTACCTCCACAGACTGGGCAAAGGTGCGCAAGTACTACAAGCTGAACGGCCTCCCCTGGCTCGACGCCATCAAAGACGAGGCGGAGCGTAAGGAGGAGCTAGAGACCCTCGTGCTGGGCGCCATGGCCTTGCGCACTGCGTAAAGTGACCGCAGCGGTCCATCGCATGCTTTCGCGAGATACCTCAGCTGTTTGCTGATGTCGTGTTCGTAAGTCATCATCATTTGCTGTTATACAATACTGCAAGCTAATCATGCCCCCAAGCGCCAACTCCTCCCGCCAACAGGGGCTCCTACTCTTCATACCGAGACCCCAATCACGCCCTTGAACCTCCTCAAAAGCTCGCTCCACATTGCGTCTCGCCCATCCCGCGTCCTTTCCACGGCATCGCGATTCTCGTGTGCCCGCCGCAGCAGGTATTTCATGCATTCTCCGGTCGATCCCCAGACGAGATACTTGTATGCGTCCACACCCCGCGCCTTCGCATCCTGGTGCCCCGGCTTCTTCGACACAAGCTCGCAGCTCACCTCGTCTGCCATGCCCTGGAGTTGCGCGTATGCCATCTGAATCCTGGCCTCGCCAGCATCGCATATGGCTCGCGCTTTCCTTACTGACTCGGCATTGTGCGAGGCGAGAACCAAGCAAACGGGAGGCATTTGCGAATCTCCCCTCAAGATCTCGCCCCACTGCCTCTTCAGGAGACACTCGGCAATGCCATTGTATGCGGCATCGGTGTCGGCTTTGACGTCGTGGATAAGGTGCCTGGGGTCAGAATTGACGTAGGCGCCACGCACCAGCTTCACTCCCAACGTGAATCCCCCGCCGCGGGCGATCATGAGATGGCGCCGGAGCGTCTGAGGCGTAGACTTGAGGTATGCCTGGTAAGTGCCGTAGATGACGGCATTGCCAGGAGAAGTATTGTACTTGCGCATATACTCAACGGTCCAGATGTCGATGCCGGGTTGCAGTGCTGTTTGCTCGGCATCAAACAAGAGACGGACGCCGCGCTCTGAAGCAAGAGAGCAGATGGAGTCGATTGAGTCGGCCAGGGCGGCCGAGGGAGGGAGACGTTCTGCGAGGGAGTACAGCGCCTGCCGGCCTGCACCTGTGAACCTGTGGTGGCATTAGCAGCTGCGAGACAGCCCGAGAATGAAGACATGACTTTACTTGAGAGCAACGAAATCACCCCGCTGGGCCAGCCTGACCGTCTCCAGGGTCCCCTCAGCCCAAGGGACGATCTCATTGCGGATGCATTCCTCTGCCATCTCGCCCTCACCACATGACGCCAAATCCTTGGTCTGTGAATCGTCGAGGACGACTTCTCTGGCGTAGCCCAGGATGACCCCTGTGAATCCAATGTCCTTGAGCTTGTTGATGGTCTGCTTCACCTCCACCGGGTTCTCTCCCGCGCAGAATTGGGCATAGAACGTGTGCTTAAGGAAGAACCGCAGCAGCGGGTTCTTGTCTGGGTTGAGTATCGGGTTCGTCGTGTTCGCGAGCACCGACATGATCCACAACGACGGCGGCAGCAGGATGGGCGACGACGAGATTGTCGTGGTGAGGAGTGAGCGGATGATCATGTAAAGGGGCAGCACCGACAAGGGGGCTAGTGCCGTTTGTGGTGCCGACTCGACGGGTGTAAGTAGCATCTGCTCCGTCGACGACGACCTCTTCGTGGACGAGTGGATGTTCCTCCTCGCCATTGTGGTAGACGTTGAATACATGATCCAATGTCGATGTCTGTTTGGCGTCGTGAGTAGTGGCAGCAAGCTGATGCCGGTGATGATTCTCCTCCCAGCAACGACGCGGTCTCGGCTTATGGACGCGTGAGATATCGGTTTCCTTGCGCTGCGGAGGCACAAGCTGTGCAATGGCCGGGTCATTGCGGTGTTTAGGGACGCCCGCCGAGGATGTAAGACAGGATGCTAACACGCCGCGGCGGATGAGTAAGGCGATGGGCTGAATAATGATGACGACTTGGAATTGAACATTTAAACCTGAGGGATTCTCAAAACCAAGACAACACACGATATCACCAATTAAGGAGAGGGGTGGGAGGGTATTATACAAAGATTCCAAGTCTATTGATCCTTTATCTCCCGGCCGATGCGGTCGTGTCGCAACCAACGGACGCGAGCCACCCTTAAACTCGCTCCTTCCCTTCCTCCAGGACCGAGCCGCAGCGTTATCTACGAAGGAAGCAGACAATGATGTATGTCCTGCGCGCGAGATGGGGCTAGTAAGTTCCCGCCCAGCCCGTGTGCGGTGGTGCTTATCTCGGGGGGGGGAGAGATTGGCATTCTATCACGTGGGCCAGTTTGTGTTATTGAGGTCGATATCCGCCCGGTGGTAGCCGCTTCCGGAAGATCGGATCGGGATGGACCCCTGATCATCGGCGCGTCGGCGCATCGGCGAACGAGGGGCGGGAAGTGATGAGGTCGGAGAGACTGGCGATTTGTGGTTCACGTGGACACGTCAGATGTTGAGTTGGTGGAATATTGGAGAGTGAGAGAGTTGTGGCTGTGTGAGGCTGTACGAGGCTGTACGACGAATGTAGATGCATTACACTAGAATGCTCATCTCATGTTCCGCGAGTGTCCTGGATGGTTCGGCTCCGGTTCCCCATACGCTAACTATTCCGCGTTGTGTACCTTTCGTGCTGACGGCTACACGACTTCGACCTCGTGATTCTCAAACTTGTCAAAGTACCTGATGCCGCCGTCGTCTTCGACCACGAATTGCCATACGCCAAATCGGATCCATGTGCCATCCTCGAGGCGGGAGCGAGAAGAAGGCCCCATCCATCCTCGTTCTCGCGCCAGCAATTCCCAATTCGGTCATGGTACTCATCTGGTGTGAAGTATGGCTCGGTCGTTGTCGTGTTGTATTTGTATCCTTCCACTGTATCTCCTGTAGAGGACATCTTGGACGTGATTTCAGCTTCGCTCTCTCGATCCGCTCCTCGGTTCTCGTTGAAGTATGTGACCCAGATTTCTCATCATACCTACTACCCATAGATGCTGACCATACATAGCGAGGCATCATCAGAAGTTTACCTCCAGCAATGCGCAGCTTGCGCGCTTCAGAGTGGAGTTCATTGTGTAGAATGTAGGAGGGCCAATGGCCAGCTCAAGCGCCACATCCGATACGTGCGACATCAGAAGTCCTATGACCAGGTAGTGGGCATGGATTCTTGGAGTGAGCGTGCAGCTACTTCCACTGAATGTCGAAGTGTGCAGAGTCTCATCATTTGCCAGTCGGCGGCTGTAGTTTAAGGATGTTGAGGTTCCTCTACTTTAGCTGCCTTCGTGGACCCAAAGCGCTTGCGGAGGAACTCGACGTATCCGATGGGCCGGCCGCGGGCGAAGCCGACGATATCCTGCATGCCGCCGTACAGCACTCCAAAAAGTAGGCCGTAACGTGCCGTGCGAGCTGCAGTGGGAAGAGAGAAGCGATCTTGAGGATTACAGCATCAGCAAACATGTCATCATGGGTTGGGAAGCAGGACTGGCGTGACATACTGACGAGACTGAAGCCTCCGGCTACCGTCAGACTGGCAAGAACGGTGCTAATGAGGTCAGTACTGCCGCGGTATCTGTCGACGGTGCTCTCAAGACCGAATGCCATGATGGTCCAGAAGCTGAGCCTTGCGCCCATGCGTAGGCCCTCGCGGAAGCCGCCGTGGATGGTGTGATAGTTCTTGCTCTTATGGTAGAGGTACCAGCCGGTGGTGGTTGTGGGCATCTTGTGTGCGTGCTCGGCGCGGAAGCGCAGCGAGGCGGTCTGCCCTCCTTGCGCAATACCCAAGGCTGTCCCAATACCGAAACCGACCATGCCGGCGAGGGGTATGCGTGCTGGTGTCGGGATGGAGAGGCGGGACTCGGCGGGCTCCAGGCTGAAGTACTCAGCCATGGTCTGGCGACGTGCGGCCATTGTGGGCGGCAGTGAGGGAGTGATCGGTCGGAATAGGTGAGATCGTGGTGCCCTGGTCGGCTACGTTGTTGTTGTTGTAGTTATGACGATCAGAAGAAAGCTCCGGCTGCTCGGGCGCAAAACAAATCGGCGTCAGACCCGGAAGGAGCTTGGACCACAGGGAACTGATTTCTCGGGGAAGGGTCCCCCGGGCGGGATGACGTACGGACGGCTTGACGCGGGACTGATCAGCTGGCGTCACGTGGTCGCGCATCAGAAAGGTGCCCCGCGCTAGGCTTTGTGGCCCGTAGCTCCCGCCGAGAATCGCGCCTGCCTGCTGTACCTTAGCTGCAGCAGTCGCCGCCTGAAATTCTCGCCCGCCACCTTCAACCAAAGAGAAATCCATCACGTCTGCGACCTCCAATTGCTGCCAGGCTGAGCCTTGCAAACCCCAATCACCGAGAAATCTCACTAGAGGCCAGCTGTAACTTGTCAAAATGGTATGAAAGGCACCTTGGAGTGACGAAACGCACCCCACCTTCCATTCGCAGCTAACTCTTCTTTGTAGGTACAGAAAGTCGACGATACCTTCTACTCGGTGCGCTTCAAGTACGGCACCCACACCATCTTGCTGTTCGTCGACAGCCAGCAGACCTTCTCCGAAATCACAGCAACACTGCTCGAGATCCTGCGCGACCGATTCCCCGACGGCCTCACCATCAACCACACCTCTCCCGAGACGACGCCCCTGCCAGATGGCGACGTCGAGCTCGCCTACGCCCTTCCCGTGAATGCGAACGATCTGACACAAGGATGGAAGAACATCAAGGTGAAGGACAACGACATCCCGGTTGCCAAGGGTCTGCGCGATAACTGCACCGTCGCCTTCTCCTTTGATGTCGACGAGCCTGAATTTGTCGTCGACGTGCCCAGTCTGGATGAGGATATTGAGGAGGAAGAGGGCATGGGCTCTGATGCATGATTGGGACTGGTTTTCTGCATTGTTGCACGGCGTTGGGGTACCGCATACGGCACACACATACTACATGCTGACCTCATTGAGGCCAAGCAGCTAATGGAAGACGATTGATGATTCATTCATGGCAATTTTGGCCTCGGCGTCAGCACATCTATGACTTACAGTCCACTCTCGGCAACCTTCCAGCAATGAAAGTCTTGAGGTTCGAAATTGAGGGGTTGCCAGTTCGACGAAGAAAATGCTGCGTCGTTCAATCTGACAGCAGCATACACGAAAGGGCGCTGTCAACCATGCTGCAGTAGGAGTGTTCCGCTGTTCAGAAATTCTGCCCGCCATTCATGTCTGTCGCCGTGCGTCAATCGCGCCCTACGACACCATAACGGACAATCAAGCTTACTTGGCTTGCAGATGGCCCAGTCCGTACGATAACAACAATGCATGTCGATAATGATAATGTAATCTAATGGGGCGAACTGACTAACAATGATTCGTGCCAGCGACATCGGGCTTGATGCGGTCGAAGATAGGCAAATGGCAACCTGCATTGATAAGAAGTTGGGGAATGGGGAACATGCCTTGTAGACTTAAACCCCCCTCCGTCGCCGAAGACTAAATCTGTACTAGAATTTGAATAGCATTATCACCAATTTTCAACGGCGTCAGTATGACCGAACAAACTCAAGATTTGGTTCTCAACGTCGACGACGTCAGGAAAGCTGCTTCTAAGAAGCTCTCCTCATCCGCCCGAGGTGAGGGGTCTGCATCCGACCCCAACACGTGCAGTAACTAACACTCAGATCACTAGAATTCTACGATGCCGGCTCAACGGGTCAGATCACGGTCAAAGAGAACACCACAGCATACTCCAAGTACCGAGTGCTCCCTCGCGTTCTCGTCGATGTTTCCGAAGTCGACACCAGTACCACGGTCTTTGGCCAAAGGATCGATTTCCCGCTCTCCGTTTCGCCCGCGGGCATCCAGGCAATGGCCCATCCCGACGGCGAGCTCGCGACCAGCAGAGCATGCGCCAAACGCAAAGTGCACATGGGCGTCTCCTCGTTCGCCAACTATTCCGTTGAGGAAATTCGTGAGGCTGGGCTTGCAGTCGGTCCTCTGAAGCACGTAATGCAGCTCTACAGCATGAGGGACCGTGAAGCGCAACTCCGCATCATCAGGCGCGCTGAGAAGGCTGGATGTGTAGCCATCTTCTTGACGGCAGACAGCCCGGTGCTGGGAGTCCGGTACAACGAACCTCGCAATCAGTTCCGCGTGCCTGAGGGCCTTTCCCTACCCATGCTCGAGAGAACGTCTGAGATGATCCGGGCTACTACACATGAGGCCGGGTTTGACGTCATCAACTCCAACTCCCATTCATGGGCCAAGGAGATCCCCTGGCTGAGGAGCGTCACAAAGTTGCAAATTTGGATCAAGGGCGTTCTGGCACCTGAGGACGTGGAGCTGGCTATCCAGTACAAGTGCGATGGCGTCATTGTGAGCAACCACGGCGGTCGACAACTTGATGAGACTCCGGCTACGATCGATATGCTTCCTCATTGTGTCAAGTCGGCGAAGGGAAGGATCCCGATTCACATCGATGGCGGCATTCGTAGCGGGACAGATGTTTTCAAGGCGGTGGCTCTGGGTGCCGACTGCGTTTGGATCGGAAGGCCGGTTATTTGGGGGCTGGGGGTAAGTCAAATCCAAATGTTGAATTGTAGCTTTGAAAGCTGACTCGAAATATAGTACGACGGAGAGGCAGGTGTGAGCAAGGTCTTGGACATCATGTACGACGAATTCAAAAGATGTATGCAGCTCTGCGGTTGTAACTCAATTGCCGACATTACGCCTGCATCGCTGGGTGTTGTTAGGAAGCATGGTCCTATCGCGAGGCTCTAAATAGCCTCAACGGAACTCAACATATATAAAAATTACCAGTCAACAACGTGGAGTGGTGCTCTGCCGACTGTCGCAAACAGTACAATCCCAAAGCCAAACAGATGGCGACTAAAGTGCCGCCAGGTATGGCTAGGCCAGAAGTGAACACTATCCATGCATCAACTGATGAAATGACCAGCAATGGCGGAATCGCCTCAGAAATGACGAGAGCCCAGCAAAGCAAAGGAAATGAGAAGAGCTCCTTCTGTAGAATTTTTTTTCTGTCCAGACAAAGATCGACGACTAGGAGACAAGCGCAACTCAAAGGAGATATAAAAACGGTTTGTGGCAGACAATAAAACAGCCCTACAAATGCTAGGTCAGCTACAACCACCATGAGAATAAAGAACCCTATTGACACAAATAGCTGAGCGCATATCAATCCCAGAATTCGTCTCATCCACCTAGAATTGCAATAGTAATTGTAGAGAAACGTCTTGAGTTGTTCCGGCTCCAAAGATGGTTGATTTGGTGAATTTCCTCTGTGACGCAGTAAAAGCTCGCAGACTGAGTCTGACGCTGGTTGTCCTTCTGCTTCCCGACTTGGGAATGGAATGAGGTTCGTTTGGGACTCGGAAGCATCTGAGTTCATCCGGACATTCCACGTTGGTAGCTCCACTAGGCTAAGATTGCCTGCTCCTGGTGAGCTACTCCTGGAACCATGGCAAGAGTTTGCAGCATCCCCTCGAATGGCTCGTAGCTGCTGTTCAGCTGAGAGTTCTCTCTGGTGTGTATTGTCTCTCACAGTTGGAGGGTTTGTTCTCTCTGAGTCTTGTGGACCCAAACACACCCACTCCATTGCCCTTGAGGAAATCATCTGACTTCGAGGTGAGTCTACGCGTTGTGTGGTGGCATTGGCCAGAATCGGCGTGAGCATTCCAGCTACTGGTCCAATTAAGAGGAAAACTGGCAAGACCTGCCCGAATCCCCATTCATCCTCATTGACTTTCACAGACTCTCGGCTTCGAATGAAGCGTAGCGTACCCCAGATGAAAGACACAACAAGCTGAATGACCTGGTTCGGAGTAAAACTTAGAACTTAGTCTTTGCTCAAAGTCATAGAGTAACTCACATCCATGAAGTCGGAAGATATCAAATCAACATAACTTTTCGCAACGAGGTAGACATCTCAATAACCAGAATCTTGTGTGACATCCACCTTTGGAATCTCCCTTTGGTTGCATTGTTTGTTCTTCTGGCCATTCTCCTGACAAGCCAATGCTCGGCTTGGTTCGAAACGTTGTTTTCATGGCACCCGAGAACTTATTGGTCATCTTGACAACTCGCATGAAAAAGCTGAAAAATATTAAAATCATTGATGTTAGGGCTGACATTTCTGCTCTCCCGTTGCTGTATCTGTACCACACATCGTTATATGAGGCATGTTTCATGCAAACATCTGCCATCAAGTTGGGATCTGTAGCATTGATGCTTTCGAATTGACAGACCCGCCATATAGTCACTCTCTTGGCCAGGTCAGGGCTGTAGAAACAGCGTGCGTTGGAAGCTCCAATGCCTGTTGGGTCACCATTGAACCAACCAAACCACCATGTCGGAATGAATGCAGCCAGGAGGCCGCCCCAAAGAATGAACATCAATCCAAATCGGCAGATGCGTTCTAATCGATGATGATTCAGATAGCCCCGCAGTAAAGTCAGAGAAGACGTGTGAGTTAGATTCGAAAACCAGACAAGGTAAACAAGAATTCTCCAGTGATAAGCGGAAATTGCGTTGCGGAAGAGATTGATGTATCCGCTCACAAGAATTCCCAGCCCAGTCAAAAGCTGGACGTCGCAAAGGACAAGGATTGCCTGTAGCTGGTTTCAAGAGATTGCCGAGGAATGAATCCGAAGCTTCAGATTGACCAATACTTACCTGTGTCAAATCGTCCTGCCATCGCTGCCTGCCGCCGGGAAGTCGTTGCCGTAGTCTCGAGAACAAGTTCACAGTAGCCTCATCAAAACTGTTTGGCCTCCACTTCCACTTATTACTGTAATGAGTTGGGGATGTAGGGTCTTCTGAATCTGGGAACGGGTTCTCGGAGGGGTCAAAAACGAGAAGATAATGTAAAATAACAAGAAGAACAGCAACTACTGAGGTTCCCATGAACCCATTCAATACCTAATGCAGTTATGAGACATTGGATGGTAGCGGCAATATGCAAACCCGCTGACATGCGTCTCCTAGTGCACAAAAGCACCCAATCAGTTGCTGTAAAGAAACAGACGAGAACAGTGCTGCATGAAAATGTCATCTTGGATGACAGCCTGCAGAAATGCGACTGTGACTTTCAACGACGCTACGTGGTTGGAAGTGCCCATGAGACAGCAAAAAAGGGGGATCTTGCTTCGTTGCTGATTGGGCATGTTCCCTTGATTGTGTTGCGGTTTTGCTGTGATAGAGCGACCATTTTTCTGCGTGCTCGCTCTCATTGTCACCGTCGCCATCACTGTTAATTCTAATTACCTATGGATATCATCGTCGTTCATCGTCTTTACCATCTATCATTATTGTCGTCGTCGTCGTCGTGGCCTCAACTATTTCTTCTCCTACTGCTGTCCTCGTCGAAGTCACTCAGTACATAGGAAAATCAGGCGGTCTTGTTAGACTTCATTAAACGTTAGGTCGGATTTTCAATGTGACTTTGGCCATGGGATGGACAAAATCACACGAATGGATGCCACCTTCTGTTTCCTCCACTAATTTTGCTTAATCGTTGCCCAACAACTATGCTCGTCGTATCCTCAGTGCCATGCCCTCAGAAGGTGTAAAATTAGGCAGATTGTCGACGCCAAGCTGGCTTAACATCATGGACACCAAAGGAAACTGAAGCCGTTTTCATGGCTTCACGTGAAGTCGACTAAGACACTCCTCGAGTCTAAATGCAAGCAGCTCAGCACAGTGTCGAGACAGATGACGTCGGTGGTCTGGACCGCGATCGGTAGAAAAATACAGCGGACAGGGGCCTGCATGTCCCCACTGAACAGCCCCGGACACAGTGAGATCATTGGGCAGGCGTCACTGTACCCATTTGGACCCCTTTTCCAGACATCCGGTGTCGAATGTCGAAGGAGCTCTGGGTCTCAACTTTTTTCTCTCTCTTCCTCTTCCAGAAAACAACACGACACCAGAACCCACGAAATAAGGGGACCGTCACAACCACAGCTGCAGAGTCGCCGCCGACCTCTGCTGATGCTGCCAGACACATGTCCCTCGTGGCCATCCTCCGCCATGGCCTCCGCCTGATCATCCCGCTGGCGGTAGTCTCGACCCTCTACCTCTATCTGTATCCCGTCTTCCTCGGCTGCGCGTTCCCAGTCGCCCCGAGTACCGGCAGCAGCAGCAGCAACGACGTCGAGCTCGACAGCAAGGCTGCCTTCATCGAAGCTGCGCGACACCACCTCCCTTTGCCGATCCCCCTCCGATCGACAGACTCCCGACCCGCTCCTTTCAGACTCCTTGCGCTGGGTGACCCCCAACTCGAGGGTGACACCGCCATCCGAAGGATTCCCGGTCCTGCCTTCCCTCACGCGAGGAGCTGGTGGTCCCAAGTGACATTCAAGGCACCAAACTCGCTGCGGCAACGCGTCCGCCAGTCGCTACACGATGTAATCGACATCTTCCTCGAGGACGTCTTCAACGAGCTCGAGTCCCTCCGCAAGCGGATAGACATATTCGGCAACGACTTCTACCTTGCCCACATCTACCGAACCGTACAATGGTGGACTCGCCCTACCCATCTCACTGTGCTTGGCGACCTCCTGGGTAGCCAATGGATTGGCATTGAAGAATTCCGGAGCCGTGGCCGCAGGTACTGGGACCGCGTTATGCGAGGCACCGAGCGTGTCCCGGACGATGTAGCTGCGTACCCGTCTATGGAGTATGAGCTCGCCGACTACCTCTCTCCGTCTGGCGAGCCGTCTTCGGTATGGTCGCGACGTGTCATCAACGTCGCTGGCAACCACGACATTGGCTATGCTGGCGACATCAACCAGGACCGCTTTGGACGCTTCGAACGCCTGTTTGGCAAGGCAAACTACGAACTGCGCTTCGAGCTTCCTATAGAAGACCCGAACCTCAATGCTACTGTGTTGGACGACGAGAAAAACCCCGACTCTGACCGGCTACCTCCCGAGATCCGCGTGATCGTCTTGAACGACATGAACTTGGACACCCCTGCGAAGGACACCTCGCTGCAGGATCAAACCTACGCCTTCATCAACTCCATCATTGAGACCTCGGCGGCTGTCGAGTACAACGGCCACTTCACCGTGATCCTGACCCACATCCCGCTGTACAAGCCCGAAGGCGTCTGCGTTGACTCGCCCTTCTTCGATTTCCACGGCGAGCACAACGGTGGGGGTGTCAAGGAGCAGAACCTACTTTCCTATGACGCTAGCAAGGGCTTTTTGGAGGGCCTCCTTGGCATGAGCGGCAACCCTGATGCACCCGGTAACGGGAGAGGTCGTCGGGGCGTCATCCTTAACGGCCACGATCACGAGGGTTGTGACACGTACCACTACATCAATCAGACGCAAGGCGAGCTCGGCGACAGAAGGTGGGAGGTTGAGCGCTGGCCGACCGCCAAGGGCCGGGGAGCTGTCGGGGCCCCTGGTGCGCCGGGACTGAGAGAGATCACGGTCAGGAGCATGATGGGCGACTTCGGCGGTAATGCGGGACTCCTCAGCGCTTGGTTTGACGAGGAGACTTGGAGTTGGAAGTTTGAATACGCGACGTGCGCCTTGGGTACGCAGCATTTTTGGTGGTTCGTCCACAGCTTGGATTTCGCGGCGATCGTTGGCATCGTTGCTTACATCGTTCTGCTCGTCACCGAGGCGAACAAACCGCAAACATCACCCGTCAAGTTGAATGGATCTGCAAAGTCGAACGGCACTGTTCCGAATGGCGCGGTGCACTCCAACGGCGAAGCGAAGAAACCGATAGAGAACGGGGAGGCCAAATCATCGTAGTCATTCGTGTTGCTCAAATACCCGGCAGGGCAACACCTGTCTCATATTTTTAGTAAAGCACCTCATTTTGTCACATTGTTCACGTCTGCGTTGCAATTCGCCTCTGGCATGTTTTCCTCAAACCACATTCCTTCGCCCTGTTGTTCATAAGCCCATGCCATCATATGTTACCAGCGTTCTACACAAGCCAGCGTACCTGCCTCCGAAGTCTTGTGCCTCGTAGCATCGTTCTAGAGCTCCTGTCTTTGGCAACCGAGCTCTGGCTATCTTGTGCTTCCAGGATCTCGCCGTTTTGATGCAGCACCGCAGCCTTCGTTGTCTCGGTCAGCCCCGTCGCATACTCTTCACATACTGAACCTCTCACCGCTGATGAGGCGAGTAAGCAACATTTGGGCGTCTTCTGTGCGCATTTTGTGGCTCGCAAGCACATGTGAGAGGTAACAATCCTCTGCTCAATGTTTTCCAAATGACCCAGTGTGCCTGGCCAACCGCGGCAAGGTCTCGACGCTCCCGCCATGTCTCGACACCGGCCATGTGCTCCCCGTACCACTCTGTGAGAGCCCGTGGACTACTGCGCCACGGCCGGTAAGCCTCCGCTGCCGAGCAGGGAGGCTGGAGATGCGTGTATGTGTGTGTGTGTGCATGTGTGCAATATCACCTCATGCCAACCGGATATTTGCTTCACGGACCTGACCCCCGGTTCAACGCGCCTCTTGTCACGTCGCACAAGCGAAGTCTTCTGCGGTACGAGCTGGAAGTAGAACATGCACATCTGGCGTGCACCTCTCTGTCTCTCTCCCCCTTACCGGTTGCCCTGTATACCGGGCCCAGAGCTCGCGTCTATAAGTCGCCTGTCATGCATGCAACTGCTACCCCGCCATGTGTTTGTCAACTGCATTGTGCGCCCCGTACGACGCTGCCGCGCGCCAGAGGACAGCTGCGCTATCGAAATCCTGTCAACGTCTGTCATCTGCCTTCAACGTCGGTGAGATCGAGACCAGGCTGGGGTGGGTTGATATCGCCGAGGTCGCCAACGTTGAGCCGTCACGAGGTCTTGGAATTGATGCTTCTGCTGCTGGTGGCCGCTGAAGGCTGAAGCAAACATCGGACAGGTGATGAGGCGGTGACAGGTAAGAGAGGAACTAGGGATCCTTTTCTACCTTGGCGATAATCCAGGTTGAGTGAGATTCAAGCTCGACATTCGCTCTTGACTCTCAGCGAAAGAGTATATAAGCTGAAGCAAGATCCGGGTTGAGATTGGAAATTCAGTCAAGACATCCAGACACCATCACAAGACGAACTACAGCCTGCACCATCACTTCAATACTTCTCATCCCAAAGACGCTCAATCCACTTCTGAGAATACCTTCAGCCTCGAGCATACCTCCCCACAATCAACATGCAGATCTCCCACTTCACCATTTTCGCCGTCCTCGCCGGCCTCGGCCTTGCCGCGCCAACTGCAAAGGTCGACAGCAGAGCCGCACAAGAGGTCGACCCGCTCATGGCCGCGGGGAAGCTCTTGCCCCGGCAAATCACTATTGAGTGGTGCACGAAATCCTGCGACTGCGACAAGATCCCGAAAGAAGAGTGAGTCCAGACTGCATCATATGAAAGAACCTTGACGCTGACCTGGATATCAGGAAATTCCAATGCTATTCGAATGCCAACTGCGAGGAGTGTAGACGTCGGGGATATTACCCACCCAAGAAGGACTCGAGAGTTTAGGCTGCAAGAGTGGTTGGGTTAAGCTCAGGTGCCAGGTTGGGGATGGTTAGAGAATTAACGTTGTCTTTGAGGGAATCATTTTGCGTCGAGATACCAGATACCAGAGAATCACTGATGGTTAGGAGCAAGGATTGGAGGACATGAGATGAATCAGACGAAACTGGCGTCGGGCATGCTGTTATTCGTAGTGTCCGATATCAAATACACTCGCTTCAGAAGGTTCGGTGCGTCATGACCGAAAAAACGTGTTGGAGAACTCGATATCTTCACATAGATACACCAAGCTGGCTACACCAGCTTCTCCAAGGTGGCCTAGAGGTAAGGGTAGTATACAGAGATTCGTACATGCGCAGACCCACGCGTCGTCAAGTCTATATGCAAGTTGTGGCGCCTCTCCATCGCCGGAACCCGCCCCGATAATACAAGTACAAGTAATTTTGGTAAGAGGAGAGAAGAAAGGTGTAGTGTAAAAACGCACAGCTTGTGCTCATTAGCTTTGTTTTGAGTGGAATGTCCACCCTTTTACTGCTTCTTGTTGGGGTCGTCACTCTTCACGAACCAGCCGCCGAAAGAGCCCATCATGTTCTGCATGGCCTCCTGCTGCATCTTCTCCTGCATGGCGGCCTCCTCCTTCAGCCACTTCTCGCCGTTCTCGCGAATCTCCTTCTCGAGAAGCTCGTAGTTGCGCTGGCCACGCTCACGGGCGATATCCTGGAGCATCTTGCCCTGGGCGAGAGCCTCGTGAGGGTTCTGCTCACCGTCGGGAGAGACCATGAGGCTCATGTTAGATGGCTTCAGGCCCAGCATACCTCCCAACAAGCTCATTCCAGAGGGCGCCTTCTTCTTCTTGGCCTCAACCTGCTTCTGGAACTCGGCACGAGCGATGGCCTCACGGCGCGCGAACTCGGTGGGAATGTGCTTGCCGTCGAAAGACTTGAGGACCTTGCGAACATCGCCGTATTGCATCGTGTGGATGTACTCGAGGAAAGGGATCAAGCCGACCAATTCCTTGTCTGAAGAGTCGCCCTTCCACTTGGGAAGAACAATGGCATTCTCCGGCTGGTGCTGAACGTGCTTCTCGTTGGTGTCGATAATGATCACCTTGGACAGGTCACGGTTAAGGTAGGAAAGATCCTGAGTTTGAATTAGCCCTGGTCGCAGAAACGAACAGGAGAACAGACGCATACCTTGACGAACTCTCCATCCTTGTACTTGGTTGCTTCGCGGTAGAGGGGCCACATGATGAAGCGGTACGGGTCGAGCTTCCTGACGAGGGGCTCGCCAATAGCGAAGGGCACACTAGTGAAGAGGACCAACTCGTAGTACTGGCTAAGATAGCGCAGGAAGTAATCGACACCGGGGCGCTTAGCAACTCTCCAGCCGTGCTCACGAGACCACTCGCTGTGGACAAGCAAGTCCTCCAAGCTGATGCAGAGAGTGTAGGGACGCTCGAAGGACGGATCCGGGTCGGGCAAGAGCTTTTCGAAGGCGGGCTCTTGGTAGTAGTTGAGGAAGTCTCCTGTACGCGCCTTCACTCTGTTCCACCACTCTCCAAATCCCCAGCCGTTGGGTGCGTCCTCGGCATGCCTCTTGGCCTCGATCTCGTCGTCCCAGTTGCGGCCGAGGTAGATCGCACCAGTAATGGTGAATCCAAGGAAGGCAAGGTACATGCGGTTGGCAAGCTGCTGTCTTTTCCTGTCTGTTGAAGACACATATGCTGAATCGGGGAGTTCTCCACGGCCACGGCCGCCACCTGATGCGACAGCATCCTCCTCGGCGATGGCAGCAAGGGCAGCCTTGTTGGTCGCGCCGGACATCTCGTAGGCAAGAGTGGACGGAATGCCCTGCGTCAGATCGGGCAGAGGGCCGGTCGGTGTGGGTTCCTCGGGGGCTTCGGTCGCATCGGAGGCGTTTGTCTTGGCTTCGGCATCGGAGGCGTTGGTTGAAGCTTTCGGTGATGTGGTTTCGGGTGTTGAGTTCGCAGGCTTCTGGCTATCGGCGGGCTTAGGGGCAGATCCAGAGGCGCTCTTTGACTTCTTCTGCTGGGCGAAGTTTCTGCTCCATGTTGCGGCCACGAATTGGGGTCTCGTCAGTGGTGTTGCGACTGGGCGATACAGCTGCGCCGCAGAGGGCTGCAGGCGCGCGAACCGAGCTGCCCTTGACAGCATGACGTCTCAAGGGCCAATGTCGGCGTATATGAATGCAAGGGTGTCAAGACCCAAAGATGGTTCAACCGTGAGTCGTGAACAAGGGGCGGTGGAGGTGATGCGCCGACAACGAAGAAAGGCCTGGGAGGCGTTGTCGAGGTTGGAGCAGGTGGAGTGGGCTGGCGATATTCCTGACGAAGCCACTAGAAATTTTTGAGAGGCACAGAGGGAAGCACCACCTCGCACACTCAAAGTCAAGGTCACTGACCTGCACTTTGGCAGGTGCAAAGTTACGTAGCGCACACAAGTACCCTTACGCGCAGTTGGTGCCGGAGGGGTACATCCACGAGTCACCCCGCTCCATCGTGTGGAAGGTTTCTGTTGAATTTGGAGCTCTGATTGGGCCTGGCCGCCTGAGTCCAAGCTCCTCCTCAGTCCTCCTCAGTCCTCCTCAATGCCGCTTATCGCCGAACTTGATCCGTTCTCCGACATTGAATGACTAAGGCAGCCCAGCGTCACAGTCCGTCTCGCCCAATGAGGTCATTCTCGGTGCAGAAGCCGTTCCACTTTGGCCTGCCCTCAGCTGATTGGCCCCGGCTCATCAGGCTTAGTCGATTAAACCAGCAGGGGCTCACGTGCGAACCTTGTCCCGGCGCTGCAGCCCGGGCAGCGTCCAGTCCGCGCCTTCGTCTCCGGTCTTTCTGGTGCTGGCAGCGTCTGGTATTCTGGCAGTGACCTTCATGCATGAGCTGAGGTGCTGCGCTTTCCGCACCTCGTCTTCCTCTTCCCCTCACATATACCGAGCTCGACCCCGATCTGTCCAATTTACTACTTCTCCCATCTACACCTCTGTGGTCATTTCGAAGAGCAGGATCCTTCGACCTTCCACCATCGCTGAATCGACGACACATAGCGCCATAGCCTCCACCCAATTCCAAACCATTCCAGTCATCCCCGTCCCGCTTCTTCACACCGTCACCATGGCTGTCGCGCGTGGTGAATTCTAGAGGGTGGTCCCCAAGTTCGATGCCACGATCACAATGGGACCACCCTCTGTGATTTTTCGCGTCCTTCCAGACTGCCTCTTGACCTGCTTTGCCTAAACATTGCACCTCATCGCTATTGAAATCTCTGCACATACTGCCGCTAGATACCCTTGCGCGACAAAGACCCCGCCACCCCGCCACTCCCGTCCTCCTTATCGACGACCGATTCCACGACTCGCCCTAAGATATTCCGGGCTACCGATATCCCATTCGAAATCTGCCATTGATCCTTCGAACGACAACAGCAATCCGCCATGATGGTTCGCCGTGTCAAGGTCTCCCGGGCTTTGGGTCCGTCGCATGACCCCACGCCCATCTCGTCTACTCTTACGACACCACTGAGTTCCGCCTACCCTTCGACGTACGCCTCCGAAGCGGACTGGGACAGCGAGGTGAACAATTTGCCCATGAGCGCGCTCTCTCTTGAGCAGAAGAAGGCCAGACGGAAGGCGAAGCCCTTCCCCTTCATGTCACTGCCGTCCGAACTTCGCCTCAAGGTCTACGACTACTACTTCGAGGGCGACGGCAAGGTCATTGATCTTGACCCGGACAACTATAAGAAATACCACAAAAAGCTCGGCATTCAAAGGGTTTGCCGTACCATCTACCAAGAAGTCTCCCACTACTTCTACAGCAGCCGCTCGTTCCGGATCTTTCCCACTCACCCGGGCAAGTATTTCAAGACCAAGAAGCCGCTGCTAGCCCGCATGAAGCCAGCCTCACGATCCCACATCACCTCGTTGGAGCTGCGACTCGGTCCCGGCTGGAGCAAGCCGCCACGCGGATGGATAGTCACTCCAGCTTTAGGATTGCAGCAATGCGTCAACGTCCGTCGACTCCTGGTCATGGTCGAATGCGACCCCAGCGACGGTATCTTCAACGGATTCCGCCGTTCAGACGGCTTTTACGAAAGCTTTTGTCGATCTCTTCTTACAGAGGTCATGAACGAGATGCCCTGGCTTGACACGGTCACTTTTGACGCGTGGCCAAGTGTTAAGAAATCGGGTGCAATGATGAAAGGGCTCCTCGAAATAACTGCGGCGAATAACCGCAAGATTCGCTGGGGCCCCGACCGAGGATGGACCGATGGGCCTGACGACGAGCCTCAGCCCAGCAGCAACCTTGTTCTGGTGCCGCCGCCTACCGAGTTCAATACGTCCAGCGTAGGCGTCTTGGTCATGGCGTAGTGACGATGGTGAAAGTCCATCGCACGCACTTTGAAACTCTCATTTCCTATTCACTCGCAACTCTGGGATTGGCTTGACGGATTCGGTACGGCACGGGACAGGCTGGAATACAAGCACTGGGTTTGAACTGGATCATAACGGCGGCCACAGCGGTCGACCGCATTCTTCTCTTGCGACGAGATTGTATGTAATTGTAGCATGACGAGGAACGAGAAACATGATTTATTACTAACAGCGGGTGTACCTGATCTGCCGATGTGACGAGATGTATGTGAGCGGTGATCGCCTGTAAATCTACCCGCAAACGGGACGGGATCGTACTCAGGCGACACAGACAATGCCCGCGCATGTTCCTCCTGTCAGACCACCTCGCGGCTTGGGTCTCGTGGTCTGCTGAATCCCTCGATGGACCGTCCCGTCAGAAGCGTTCCGGATATTAGGTGCAGCATTGACTCTGGCTACCCCGCGTTTTCGGATCCCGCCAATGGGTTGCTGGTCGGACGAGGTGTCGTGTGGCCTGCACGTCAACTTGCACCATCCATGCTGGACTCGGGCTTTAGTTTCAAGACCTTTCCCGTTTCTTGTAGCTCTCGGCTTGCAGTTGATGGAGGGCAGGGTAA